TGTAGCTACTTGCCGAGACCCTGGGTATGAGTATGCATTTTGAGCTGAAAACTTTTAACCGTGCGCAACAGAATAGCATGCTGGGTTTGTACAGTGGGCACCAGTGTTCAGTTCATTTCAATGAAAATCTGGCACAGTGAGATTCTGCCATCTACATGTAGCACTGCAACGGCATAATTGAAAAATATTCTATCCTGTGCAGGATACAAAATTCAGTGACAACTGTGTGTGACTGAAGTTTGGGATAAAACTAGAATATATGGGATATGACATATCGCTAGAAGTAACGGCTCTCTCGAGGCCAGAATGTGACTATAGTTACCATTACTTTTTATCAATTTTTGTAACTAATTACAGTTACAAGTTACCTTCCCAAAAAAAGTAACCACTGACAGTACATGTACAATAATAGGTACCGTTACAGTTACTCAAAAATGTAACAATGACATGTAACTAGTTACTTGCAACAAAGTTACTCACAGCACTGGTTACCATGCTTTTAGCCAGAAGGACGTCCTGGGACGCCCCTAGAACAACTATGTTACTGTAACATATTAATCCCTTTTAATTGCTTGTTTATTTAGAGCCATATACCTCTGTTTGTCAATCGGTTAGATTCTCTGGAGACCATCATTCCATATGAATACAGCAGGTTTGTTAAAAATGAAACTAGTAAACAAAAAATCTCAACAAAATTTCACAGTTACTACTGTCCCCCCATTTCTTTGAAGTTTGCCTGGTATGCAGATCAACACAATAGTAATGACATACAGGTATTGTGCTAGGCCTTTAATTGAGTGTTTATATTGATATTAGAGTAGAAACCATGGATCTTGATACTTGTCAGCCCAAAATCACTCAAGCGACCAATGATAACAGCAATATAGAACCAAATATTGGAAAATCTTTCGTCTTAGCACCTCCACAACGGAACAATATCGAATGGTTAGGTCGCTTACCGTTGATTGAAACACTAAACCAGGCTAACCAAACTTCGTTCTGCAACACTAAAAGTAGAAGTAGTAGTGTTTTTAAAAACCGCGACACCGAGTATTATAAAGGTTGTCAGACAAATTCAAAGCCTTTAACTTCACCAAGGCATAATAACATACGTAATTCCCCTGGTCGACGCCCTTTTTTAAAACGTCAGAACATCAAACCACCATCATATCGAACATCTCATCGTCATCACTCACTAGAGTGGTTGATCCATTTGGATGTGGTGTACCGCATGATGAGACAATGAGAATACCAGTCAGAATCACCTCGCGCTACCCTACACAGAATATGACTCAAAATGGACCAAATTTTTCGAACCTAGTAAATATTCAAATTGTAAACTCTAGGGAAAAGATCCTAACTGCGATAACAAAAGAACATGTTCCAAAACCGCTTTCGGATATGCAAAGATCGAAACTTAGAATTGCCCACCTAAATGTTCGCTCAATTAAGAATAGGAATCATCTTATACAGGTTCGAGAACTTATGAAGGACAGGAACTATGATATTTTAGCCTTGTCAGAGTCGTGGTTAAACTCCACGGTGACAAACGCGGAAGTAGAAATCGAGGGCTTTAAACTAACAAGATTGGACCGTTTGGGAAAGACTGGAGGGGGTGTTTGTGTCTATTCTAAATCAAATGTCTCAAAAACATAACTGGGATATCTGAATTCGGATTTCATCAGTTATGGATGCTAATACAACTCAGGAAACTAAGATCAATTCTCCTCTGTGTGACATATACAGTACAGCCCTAATGAAAGTTAACATCGTGTAACGAGCGAGTTGCGAGTTCGAACGAGAGGCTATCGAGCGCGATTTGACCCCTAACGAGAAATCTGCGAGTTGCGAGTATGCGAGCGCGAAGCGAGCGAGCGTTCTCGAAAAATTTGATATCGAGCGAGTGTTCTCGAAAATTAGCGAGCGAGTGTTCTCGAAGACTTTAATTAGATATCGAGCAAGGGTTCTCGAAAATTGTTTGTATCGTGCGAAATCGAGCGAGAGTTTGACCAACATGTGGCAAAATATAGGATGATAATTGCTGTTTCCTTGCATGGCAAACGTCACGTATTTTGACATATATTTATACCAATTCCCTAAAAATATAACTATGATACGGTGATAGCGGTTATATTATTTCGTTACTCACCTTTACCCAACCACAAGATAAACAAAATTCCCTGGTTAAATCAGCGTCTGTTTATTCTCAAGTGTTACATGTTAGTGTCAGTAAAAACACGCTCTTTCTATTATATACTTTATTAGAATTAGCGGTTCAACCTACTCGTTAGAAATAGAAAATAAGACTATTTCCGAAATTTTACGGTGTGACACAAATACACTAAAAGCAATCTATATAATTATAGCCTTAGGCTATAAATAATGTTAGTTCGCTTCGGTTGATTGCATTTAGTGACGGATAACTGTATTCATGCACCATCTTTACAACCACAATAACAGGAACTCCACCGACACTTATTGTCTCGTATGGATTATCGAAAACAAAAGAGCGTTACAGATGATGTCAGTGAAAAACATGCTGTCTGATTTATACTGAGATCTGAAGCGTCTTAGGCTCATTACTGTTTTGATGTCTGTCGGTGAGCCTGCTCTGAGAGATATTATAGAAATAGAAATAAGAACGCGATGTCTTCAAGAAACTTGACGAAGTTTTACTTAGTTAGTTAGTTTACTTTTACGCTGACAAGACACTGTTAGTGGTGTCGCGTGAGAAGTTACTGAGCGCAAATGAAGTAGTCATCGCGGTCAAAGGAAGTGACGTCCAAGTCATGCTGAATGGAAAGGCATGGAAAGCGAAGTTGATATTTTTTGTAGGTAAAATAATTAACAATTATTGGATGAGGTTTTTGTGATATGCGGAATTATCAAGGTCGAGGTAAGCGTTATCAGCCGAGCCGAAGGCGAGGCTGATAACGCTTACCGAGACCTTGATAATTTTGCATATCGCAAAAACCGAATTCAATAATTGTTTTATTATACATTTGAAGAATAATAAACAGTATTTTAAATAATAAAACAATTATTGAATTCGGTTTTTGCGATATGCAAAATTATCAAGGTCTCGGTAAGCGTTATATTCAATATGATTTCTGGCAAAGCTGTTCAATTAAAACGTTTCTATAAACAAGTCTCCGGAAGTCCAACAGTTAAATTAATTACAAATATAAAAGAAACATATTATCGTTAAGATGTTAACGTATTAAAATATTTACTTGTTAAAGTAAACATTACAATTATGAAATGTACATTCATTTGAAAATTGAAATGTACACTCATTTGAAATGTACACTCATTCAATTTCACGCAACCTAACACAAAATTCAGTTATCTGCTAGCAGATAACTGAGTTATCTGCTAGCAGATAACTGAATTTTGTGTAGGTTGCGTGATTGCGCGATTTAACTGTTAGCTCTTAGCCAATCAAATTGCTTTTACCAACTACAATGTATAATAATACTTATTATTCGTAGATTGTATTTCGTCTTTATTTCAAAATATTGATTGTGGATTTTAATGTTTCTGGATTTTAATGTTGTCCTTAAAGATCAGTTAAGAATTGACTCTGTATTGTTATTTTCAGTTTACTCCGTGTTTTCGCACGGACATGCGAAGCAACGTTACTTCTTGCGAAAAATTTTACACGCAGTATAGCGCTGCGAGAATTCTCGTGAATGGATGCATCGAGATTTCTTGTTACGAGAATTCTCGAGAATGTTTGCATCGAGATTTCTCGCTTCTCGCAAAATTCTTGTGTATCGAGTAACGCGAAGCGCGTTTCGAGAAGCCTATCGAGCGAGCGAGAATTTTTATCGAGTGGGTTTCGAGATCTCGATACTCGAAACATTTTCCTCGATAGCAACGAGCGAGAATGGTTAACTTTCATTAGGGCTGTACTGTAGGCCTGATTATCGTCCTACTTCAACCTTTCATGATATTTTCATGGAAAATTATATACATGTACATGCTCTCACATTAGGAAAAGAGATAATTGTTGTAGGTGATTTAAATTGTGATTTGCTGAAACCGGATTCTCCAGAGGTTATGTCGCTACTAGATTTTTGTACAAGTGTGAATCAAACTCAATTGATAAAAGAACCTACACGAGTAACAGAAACGTCATCTTCCCTTATTGATATTATTATGACGTCGAATGTCAGTTTAGTAGAAAATCATGGGGTGGCTTTATCTCACATTAGTGATCACTATCTAATATATGCTTCTTTGAAACTTAAGATGTTGAAGCCGCCACCTAGTTATAAATGTGTGAGATCCTACAAAAACTACAAACCTGATAGTTTCCTCGCGGATTTACAACGAATACCTTGGTATGATATTTCCATCATGGATGATGCAAATGGAATGCTAGACCATTTCAATGAGAGGTTTATCCATGTAATGGAAACACATGCACCTGTGAAAACAGTGAGGATTAAACACCGCAGCTGCCCCTTTATTAGCACAGAAATTCGCGAACTTATGCAATACAGAAATAACCTATTGAAAACGGCTCGAAGAACTAAATTAACAACAGACTGGGAAATGATATTTGTGGTGTTACTCTGAGTGTATATCCACACCGGGCGAGCTTGAAAAATATGCCCGGCCACGGTGGGATTCGAACCTACGACCTTTGGAATACTAGCCCAATGCTCTTCCAACTGAGCTACGCGGTCAGGACGGTTCGAGTAAGTGATATTTCGGAACAGAATCTAGTTCCTTCGAACCAATGTATTCTAGCAATATGAATTTTTTTTCTGTGTTGGTGTAGTGTACTCAGGTGAATATGATATTTGTGGTGTTACTCTGAGTGTATATCCACACCGGGCGAGCTTGGAAAATATGCCCGGCCACGGTGGGATTCGAACCTAATACCTTTGGAATACTACAAAGGTCGTAGGTTCGAATCGCACCGTGGCCAGGCATATTTTCCAAGCTCACCCGGTGTGGATATACACTCAGAGTAGCACCACAAATATCATATTCACCTGAGTACACTACACCAACACAGAAAAAAAAAATTCATATTACTAGAATACATTGGTATCGAAGGAACTAGATTCTGTTCCGAAATATCACTTACTCGAACCGTCCTGACCGTGTAGCTCAGTTGGAAGAGCATTGGGCTAGTATTCCAAAGGTTGTTGGTTCGAATCCCACCGTGGCCGGGCATATTTTTCAAGCTCGCCCGGTGTGGATGTACACTCAGAGTAACACCACAAATATCATATTCACCTGAGTACACTACACCAACACAGAAAAAAAAATTCATATTACTAGAATACATTGGTATCGAAGGAACCAGATTCTGTTCCGAAATATCACTTACTCGAACCGTCCTGACCGCGTAGCTCAGTTGGAAGAGCATTGGGCTAGTATTCCAAAGGTCGTAGGTTCGAATCCCACCGTGGCCGGGCATATTTTCCAAGCTCGCCCGGTGTGGATATACACTCAGAGTAACACCACAAATATCATATTCACCTGAGTACACTACACCAACACAGAAAAAAAAAGAAAAAGTAATATATTACAAGAAACAAACTTTACTCAGTTTGAGTCCTGGGTGAGCTCCCGCTGTGTGAGTTATAAACGCCAATATAGTTGACGCAGCTGTTTTCAGTTTCAAATTACTGATATACTGTAAACTTAAAGTTTACCGTCACTGTATTTTTTTAAAATCCATGGCGAAATAAATCATTTTGATAGTAAACTCGAACGAATTAACCCGGGTATACTTGTCACTTTAATGACATTGTTGAAGACCATTGTTTGTGTTGAAGGTGATGACGTAAAAACAGGCCCTGAATCTCTCACAAACCTCTTTCGTTACAAAAATGAGATAACAGATTATAAACTTCGGAATATTTCATCTGGTCTTTGTCTACCACAACCACGCACCAATAGCATGAAAAATAGTTTCATGTATGATGGTGCTAAACTATGGAACTCTATCCCAAATGAAATCAGGGAAAGTCAATCCCTGTCAAGCTTTCAAAAGAAAATTGCTGCTCATATTTTCTAAGACTACTTGTTCTACTACTTGTAAATAGTTATTCTACCATTCCTACTATCTAGCTAATTTGTACTTCTTCTTACTATACCTCATATTTGTAAATAACTATATTTATGTAATATTTCGCTTATACTACTGTAATTCTTCTTATGCATGATACGCCCCCTATGGAAATCAGCTTCGGTTGATAGGGTTAGCGTGGGTAAATAAAGTTTTTCTATCTTCTATCTATCTACATTGTGTAGGCTCTGAACAAACAGATTAATTTGCTGTAAAAGTCTAAAATCGAAACAGATTTACTTTGTCTTAAAATTGTAAAATTGCAATGCTTATTTTCGACGCTTATAATTTCTTTTAATGTAAGTGCGCTGTCCAACAAGTCTAGGTGGTTTGCCATAATTGTGAAAAAATATGGTCACGACGACGATTTGCGGATAAAGTTGAGACAACTGTTTTGCAGTGGAAGAAGGCGGTGCGTAGAATGAAAATATGGACGCTATAACAGAGGGCAATGTTGTGTGCAATGATGTAGGTGCAACGAAAATATTTAGTTGACATTAATGGGTGACATTGATGTCGCTTTGTTTGAAAATTGACAGGCATGAAGACCAGCTTTGCCGGGCTTTGCCTTTGGCATGAGAACTCTTAAATATGTAGAATAGGAATTATAAAAAGGAATATAGGTTATAAGATTATGAATTTTGCACGATTATAAATATTAGATAACAATGTATGATAACTGTAATTGGTAATGAGTGGTTGCAGTAGAAATGAAGTGATCATGCATGAAAATGGGAAATATTTGTGGTATTAAACATACCAGCACGGTTGGTAATTGAATTGAAATGGGTGAAGAATGGGGGAACATAGGTCATAGATCCTAGGCTGAAACACTTAATCTGGAAATGAATTCGAACTATATAGAATATTCAGCTGCATTCAGAAGGTATAAGTAAAAACGGAAAGTTTACTGTCAGTCTTAGTTGTATTTTTTTAAATCCAAAGTGAAATAAAACATTTACATATTAAACTCGAACGAATTAACCGGCGTACTTTATATTAGTTAGCTTGGCTGTCTCTGGTAGTACACTGGAATTGATGCAGATCGCTAGCCGATTTATAGAAAAGTGTAATTTTATCTTGACGAGTTGCATATGAAACTTGGAATCTTGGATATGCGGTCGGAATGGGAAATGCAATTTCGCTTGTCAAAAACGTTATCTCTTTAAACTTGTCACATTAATGACATTGTTGAAGACCATTCATTGTTACTGTTGAAGGTGATGACATCATGTAGGCTCTGAAGGACACTAATGAAAACATGCCGGTGATATTCATATATGGTGATATTAAAAAGCTAGAGAGTGTGGCAAGTTTGTATCGCGCGGCGGATATCTCCGGCGCGCAATTTTGATGCTTTCTATATATATATTTACTATTAAATTTTCGAAATCTCCGGCGCGCAATTTCCAAACTTTCCGGCCCGCTGGCCCGGCCCCGCCTAGAGTAACTTGTATGGGAACAGATTAATTTGCCCTAAAATTGTAAAATTGCGATCCTTATTTTGGACGCTTATAATTTCTTGTACATAATGTAAGTTATTTTGAAAAGAAATCATTGTTTATGTAAATAGGGCTGCAAAATATAGTAAAATATGCCACGTTTGGAGGAAAAGTCCTTATAGCCGTCGCCGGCAAAAGGTTTCATATGTTCCCCTATTTTCATGCTGACGTAGTGACGTACGTGGCACGACGCAATATTGGTATTTCATTTCGACATGAAGCGCGAATATATCATGGGGTAGCAGGCAGCGAGTGGAACTGAGAGTTTCTAACGATTTAGAAAAAGAAATCCCAAAGCGAAATATATTAAAATACGATTTTGGTGTTTGCGAATAGTATAGGGTCAGGCAAGTGGCAGAAAAAATATAAAAGTGGACGACGACGACGACAACGACAAAGGTTTATTTTTGATACTCCTTAATTTGAAATATTCACACGAACGCGCGCACGGTGTCAATTGAATTCGTGTCAATGTGCGCATAACAATGTGAATTAAACGATATGACGATCTTGTAGGAAGGTTTAATAGCAAGGGTATAAGATGGCATGTATTTTTGTAAAGGACTTCGATTGTAAAGGTTAAGGATTTTTTATATTGTATATAAGAAGAAAGGAACAGTATATCATAGAATATATTGCCTGTAATACTTTATGTTTAAGTTATTTGCAAGAGTATATATGATAAATTAATGCGATGTATAACGATGCTGAGGTACAATTATGGTAATATATTGCGTACTTGTGATATACGACGCAACGGTATATGCTAGGACGCAAGAGCGTGATATTATATATATCGGGAACAATAATATATTGCGGGTTATTTATGAGACGGAAGAATCGATATATGATTCATAGTGGACAGCATATATGATGAATATAAGATATCGCGAGTTTGTTTAAGTCATTTTATAGAATTATAGTCAAGAGTAACAGCATCGTGTTTGTTTATTAAGAAAGACGCAACAAAATATATGGTAACAAGACGCTCCACGGAGCGTTAAGGCGTTGGGGCGACGGAAATATACAACTTTAAGTACAAGTAATAGCACTTTGCAGTTTGCCTGGTAGTTAGCGCTAATGCTAGTTAAAACAAGTACAACCATGATTTTTCTGTGTTGGTGTAATGTACTCAGGTGAATATGATGCTTGCGATGTTACTCTGAGCATAACTATGCTCTGAGTGTATATCCACTCGGAGTAACATCAGAAGCAAGTACAACCCTGTAGCAATGTTTGCCTATACACTGTATACAGCATAGTGTATCGTATGTGTTAAAATTATAAGCGTAAATCCTGTTGTCATTACACAGATCGGCTGGTGTTATGTTACCAACTGGCCAAGTTAAAACCGAACTTTAATAGCTAGCTACAGTTAGTGCATCGAAGGCTGGAAGTCAAGAACCTTAATCCTTTAATGCTATATAATAGGAATAGGATGTAGACTTGAAAGCAGCAGGCATTGTCTGACTTTAAGTTCAATTTATGTAGATCCAAAAGACTAAAATATTATTACTGACTGGAAAGTTTGGAAATTGCGCGCCGGAGATTTCGAAAATTCAATAGTAAATATATAGAAAGCATCAAAATTCGGCGCCCGATATCTCCGCCGGTGATACAAACTTTAAATATATAAAATTATGTACATATTATCCACTTCCCTCCTCGGTAACATAAATGTGAAACTTCGCGATAACTTTTAGTGAATTCTTAATATATTTCTTTCAAAAACCCCGAAAGAAAAGACATGACTGGACCAAATATTCAATAGCGAACTTTTGCACGCTATTCCATGGTCGCCATTTTGATTTTTATTTCCTAAGAATTACGTAATTAAAATGACGTAATTTGTCATTTTGTGGCGTACCAAAGGGCAAACCTAGAGTCGGTGGGCACCACAGGTGGCCCCACCGACTAATAATATATTTATTGCGAGTTATTTACGAGAACGGAGAATCCATACATGATTTTGACACGCGTAGGCTATATATGAATCATAAGATATCGCGAGTTTGTTTAAGTACTAATCTGTTTAAGTACTAACAGGACTACAGTTATCAGTTGAAATACCAATGGTAAATCAATTGCGGGTTGTTTACGAGAACGAGGAATCCATACATGATTTTTACCGCAGCGGTATATGAATCATAAGATATCGCGAGTTTGTTTAAGTCTTACTCTACAGGACTATGTAGTTATCAGTTGAAAATACCGATAGTAGGCTAAATCAATTGCGGGTTATTTACGAGAACGAGAAATCCATATATGATTTTGACAGCGGTATATAGGCCTATATGATCAGTCATAAGATATCGCAAGTTTGTTTAAGTCTTAATCTACAGGACTATACTCTATAGTTAAAATTACCGACGGTAAATCACTTATTTTGGCCATTTGGTGAGCGTGCCTATCCATGCTCAGCTGGAGTTCACGAAACGAAAATATATATTACCGATGGTGAATAATCTTTTCCGTCGGTATGTTTGCGAGAGTTATCCATGCCCAGCTGGAGTTCACGAAACGAAAATATATATTACCGATGGTGAATAATCTTTTCCGTCTGTATGCTTGCGAGAGTAATGGACATGTATGTTTTTGAGTATTCTTAGGGTCGAAGAACAACTTTCTATAGATCGCTGCGTGTCCCATGCGATGTCCATATTTATAAATAAAATTCCTCGCCACTGTGTGCTGCGTTACCCAAAATGTTAAATTTCGTTCAAATCTCCGAGAGACACCTCTTGGATGTATTACTATAAAATACCATACGTTACTATACCTTGAGAAACAAAATTCTACCAAATATAACTGGGATCTTAAGAATAATAACATCAACTACCCTGTCATTTTAAACGAGCTAAATAAAATATTTTTATTATGCTCTGGTTATCCATTGAGCACTCCATCATTGTTTTTAACCCAACACAAACCTGCCAATTTTGCACACAATAGCGTACCACAAATTGACAAGAAGCTGTATGCTTGCATGGATACTTACGTCGAATACCATTTCCTTCATCAATCCCTTCGGTTAATGGCGGTTGCCAACTGTTTATGTACTCCACAGCATCAGTCGTAGAAACACTTTTCCCGACACTTGCTTCTAGTACATCACTCATTGCTGTCTTCCCCAGATCAACTAGGGGGGTAAATATTGAAACATCATGGTCATTCTCTTTCTTGCCGTCGTAATCACGCTGCCGTTTCATTGGTTGGTTCGGTAGATCGTGAGGATGGAGTGGTAATCGTTTGGAATCAGCAGAACTGCTGGACGACATTGTAGTTTTCCCCCGGTCAACTAAATTACCGAACTTTGTTGTGTTCGTTCTGTTTTCAAGTGTTTGTTTGATGTACGGTACAGACAAATTTACGAGAGGATGTGGGCTCTCTTTGTCTTCATCAGGAGAGGAAATATCAGTATTGGATTCCTGCAATCTCTCGGAAGACGGCACAGGAGAAGCGAAGAAGTTGGGGTCGACGGGAAGGCCTACGCATTTGTGTTTATATGTCTGCCATTGTTTTTTTGGATCTAGCGGTTCCCGCCGATTTGACAGGGGAAATGTGCGATACATTTTCTTTCCAGGATAGCCGTTATCGTCCACATGCGTTTCATGGCCAAAATTGTACGTCCATCCTCTAAATGTCTTCTGTCTCTCTTCTAGTTCAGCCGAGTCTATTGTTCGATGCAGCTCGGCACGGATAGGTTTTATATCAAATGCTGACGACGAGTCACAATATGAACCTTCTGTCTTGGAATGACCTTGATTACCAACATATTCTACATTAGAAGTCGGAAGTGAAGATGCACCCTTGGCTCTTGACAAATTTAAATGACTTAAATCACGGTCGCGATCGCAATTAGGACCACTCGTTTCAGCACCCTGATTATCAGTTGCAAGATTATTATTTTCTTTTCTTCCTTCCCTTTGCATTTCAGAGATTCCCGAGCGCTTCGAGAAATCCTGCTTCTCCAATCTCCGACTTTCCTCAGAGTCCATCGTTCCTGTTTCTTCCTGTAACACTCCAACTAAGTTGGGCAGTCCAAGAAGAGTCAAAGATGCATTCATTAACTTAACAGACTTGGCAGAGTGGCCAAGTCTTGCCACTCTTTGAACTTTGTTGTGGTTACATAGATGAAAGTAGAGATCTAAGCTGAGCTGTTGTATGTACTCAGCTAACTTGAGATCTTGTGCTACTGGGGAGAACGCCAATGCAAGACTAATCATGAACAGCGCTCGAACAAACTCAAAGAACTGCTCTGAGCTTCCAAGTGCATCAATTGTTTTATGAGCTCCAAGACTTGTTTTCATTTCTTTCAAAATGGTCTGCAGCAACCCGTACATTTGAGACAAAGATGGACTGAGAATGGCATATTTTAGTAACGACGTATCGGCGTCAAGCTGTAAAACATTTAAAAGACAGCTTCAGTAATATGATTTCCCAAACGAATCGATCGCTAATTGTATCAAAGACAAAAGATATCAACTAGCGAAACATAAATTGAACAAACTTCGGAGAAAATGTTGGTTGCAAAACAAAGCCTGTCGAAGAATTTAGCGTAATATTAGCTTGATTTAAGTTCCTGCCATTCCTGCTATTTCTATATTTGTACAGAGGTTAATTTTTAACTACATTTGTCTATTCAACTCTATATAAAAATACCTCACTAGGAATAAACTAAATAGCAGGAAAAACAGCAACTTAAACCAGGCCAAAATTACACTAGGTACATCGACAAACTTTGATTTACCACCAGCGATTTCGGCAATTTGCAAACGATCTACCATATTCTTAGATTTTGCGATTTACCTCATCGCGTTCTACAATCTACTGTTTAGAGTTAAAGCCATATTTCAAAGTGATATGTAAATTTTTATGGAATTAGAATAAATTATATGTCCGGGTTTTCTGGCCATGTTTGCCAATACGACTGAAATGTATTTGTGATCTAAATTCAAGCTACTCCTCCGCAATCACGCGTCGTTCCTGAACAAAGTAGTTCAAGTTTGAAAATTTCGATATATCTGTAATTTATGTTCTTTCCATATTAAAGGAAACAAAATTTAATACCATATGTCTAGAACTGTAAAGACTTTCTTGCAGACTCTCGATGTGTTTAACTGCTTCTATCCCTTGCACGTATGATTCAAGGCAAGGATGGTCGTTCTTAAAATAATCTGGAAACTTTACTTGAATCTCTTCAAATTCTTCAAGAGAAAGTTTTCCAAGACATTTAGTAAGGAGACCAAGGCAGGAGGTTATGCCCTTTTCGTCCTTTTCTTGCAGGGACGAGAACAAACTAATCGAATCAATAAATGGTTCAACGGATTCTTTTAACAAACCTACAAATGGAGAAATTATAAAAGATTTCAATGAAATAAAACGAAGTAAAAACATTGCAACGTAACAGGACAAAGGCTATTTTTGTTTATGGATATAAACGCTTTCGGGTGTCTAAATCAAATCAAATCAATTAGTGAAATATTAAATTCGGATTCCATGTCTCCAAGGAGTCTAATGGGGCCCTTCTTACATTTTGATTACATAACGAATTACGGCGCATTTGACGACATGCATTAAAACCGACAAGTTAGCTTTTTTAACAGGTAATGTCTTATCAACATTTACTTCATTCAAAAAAACAATGTAATTTCTTCATTCAAAAGAGTAAGTTGAAAATTGCTTGGAACTCAATTTAGTTCCTTCGATGCCTGTAACAATACATATTTCAAAAAGTTATAGTCAGCTTGAGAAAAGCTTTAGCAGCAGGCGCTTATCACAAGGGCGAATGTATGAGCAACCACTGCATACTGGTTGTTTATGAATATTGTATAAAATCTCTATTGTTGAGGTTAATTAAATATGGTCTTCGGATATTTTTCACAAAGACGGACCAACCCAATTTAAACATTTTTGAAGTATACCTTAGTGAATAAACTAAACGATAGATCACGGACGATGTGGCAAAGACTTGTCGATTTATTTTTTCCCGACGGCAACAATGAAACTTGGTACTGCAAAGCCCAATGCATCCAGTGCCGTCGCGAGGAACTCGCTTCAGGGGGCGGTGTTTGGTTAAATCTATTTGAAAGTATCAAATTTTCAAATTTAACTTGAAATTTTTTTCCGAAAAATTATTTTTGGCAACCTCTCCCTCCCCCACCCCAGGGGTGAAAAAATTTTATTGACATATCCAAATTTTTCGCGACATCAAAATTTTTTCGGATATCACAAATTTTCTGCGTTTATCAAAGAAATTCTTCTAAAATTCTTAAAAATTCTCGGATTTTCTAAAATTTTTGTAAATATACCTTATTTTTTTCCCAAATTGACAGTTATTTTCGTAAATTAACTTTCTCTGGTGCTAGGAATTATCTGAATTTGCGTTGATTTACCTGAAATTCTTCTGCAAATCTATGTGAATTTACCTGAAATTGCTCATATGAGCAATCATCAGGGGGGTGTTACACACCCCATCCCCCGCTCGCTACGGCCCTTAATGCATCATGCACTCGGTAAAATAGGATCCACGCAATAATGACGAGAAAAATTTCACAACATGGACAGCGGTCTCAACGATACCCAAATCATTCGACACAATCAACTGCTATAACCGTGATACTGGATGGAGCATGTACGTTTGTATTTTTTTTTGTGTGGAAAAATTGAGTTTTAAACTTTTTGGGTATATTCTATTAATTTGGTTTGATATACCGTATAGACTACGAAGTAAGACGTACAATGGCAATTTCAAGGCATAAAAATGAAGCCAGCATTAGTAATACTCGTCAAACGTGCAACAAGATCAGAGTAGAGAGATGTTTAACACACTGACATTGCCTGTGATTAAGATTTCTTGACACAGTTGAAATCGTCCCGGCAAACGAATGAGCAACTTTTAATTTCTGGGCACTGCTTAACGACTTGGATATTTCCTCTACTTCCAGCTTAATTAATCAAGTCATGAATATATAGTTCTTTCTCTCGTATTTTCGACTTCAAAGATATTGGCATGTTTTGCATGTAAAAACAATAAATTTGAGGGCTATACAATCAACATAAATTATTGTCGCTAAACATTGAATCTATAGCCTGTTGTAAATTATGTACTGTTTAATAAACGAGCAGGAGTGTTAGACCTAATAAAACACGTACTGCGAGCATGCGAGTTTATTAAACGGCTTCAAACACGACTACAGTTTCAATAGATATACTGCCTTATTGGTATTCTTTATATAAAGAATACTAATGAGGACACGACTACAATAGATCCTGCCTATATTAGTATTCTTTATATAAAGAATACTAATTAGGAGTATTTATCAGGCTTAAAGCCACTGCATGCACGTGATATATTACGGTTGAAATGATTTGTCAATAAGCTTATGAATTATGAATTATTTATGAGTGTTGAAGTACTATTTAAAGCACGCGTAGGAGTGTTTTATCACATATAAAACACGACGCGTAGCGGAGTGTTTTATATGTGATAAAACACGACTACAAGTGCTTTAAATGGCTTAAAAAGCGACTCATCTTATACGAGTTCATTGGCGAAGTAATTTTTAAAATAACTTTTGTCTAAACCGAGAAAATCAAAGCTAAAGTTTATGTAAATTAACATGATTTTTTATCACATATAAAACCACGACACGCTTATGATTTTTCTTTGTGTTTTGCTCCTGAATTATTAATGAGTTTTTTTTAACATTGTTTACTATATGTTTTTTAAGGATTTTATTATTTTTTATGGACTTATTCCGTGTAATATTTATATCATTACCCTCGACTCGAGCCACGCCGGAAATATTATCACTTCGGGTATTATAATTGTCGCCGAATCCCTAAAATCAACAATACTGTAACATACCCATGTTGTAAAGAATGTGTCCCTTGATTTTAATGATTTCAGCTTTAGTAGTGAGATACTCAGAGGAGGAATGAGGGTCTTCCCGAAATGCAACGCGCGAATCAGTGCGGCTCATTATTATTCAAGCTATTTATTCTCAACACGCCGTTCGACTAAAAACTGTTGAAATATATTGCGATTTTTGCTGTGAAGATCTCATTTTCTCAAAGGTATGTTTTGATAACCTTTTTGTTTAGTAATTTAATAAAAGAAATTTTGAATAATTTTGTATATATATCGCATTTTACTTATGTTAAATTCCGATTGTATTTATGCATGTTTTGGGTGTTGGAAAAGTGGCATTGAAATATTCAGGAGTAAATTGTACTTTTTTACAAGGAAACTAAAATAAAATTACATCAGTGAATTCAGGAATGTTTACTCTTTATATTGATACTTTAAAACATGAATTTACTCCATAAAACCGAAGAGTTATCGCGGTTTGAAAATGAGCTATATTCGATAATTAGCAAAAATAGCTCATTTCCAAACCGCGATAACTCTTCGGTTTTATGGAGTAAATTCATGTTTTAAAGTAACTTTTCTATGTTTTTTAAGGATTTTATTATTTTTATGGACTTATTCCGTATAATATTTATATCATTTATATTCCCTCGACTCGAGCCACGCCGGAAATATTATCACTTCGGGTATTATACCGCCGAATCCCTAAAACCAAAAATACTGTAACATACCCATGTTGTAAAGAATGTGTCCCTTGATTTTAATGATTTCAGCTTTAGTAGTGAGATACTGGTCTTCATCAACATATTTCCATTCACCTTTATGAAGAGATCACATCATAATATTAGAGATAAATTTTGCGATGTGGCTAATCGAAACCGAGAACAAATAGGTATTAATTAACAAAGATGCATGCATGTATATGCACCATGTTGTAGTTAATTACACTATAACTATAGTGCCAGATTATGCATATGTGCCAAAGCGGAAATTTACCAGAATATCAATAATTTATACTCTAGTATGCCCGACATTACTGGCTCAATACACCAGTAAAGCTAAAATCTAAATGTTTTTCTGAATATTTATTAAATACCTCTTGGGTAAATGTATAGGATACTTTAATTAAACCTGCGTTCCAATATATTTTAACAATAAACTAGCTACATTATACAAAAATAGGTACGCAGTGCGTACATGTTGCATGCCTTCGAAACGTTCAGGCCGATTTCATTCAGTGCAAAATATCGCAAGATCAACTTTTTGCGATCACTTTCTTTTGAAATGCGTTCAGTCAACCTGATCCGTTGCGTTTGATTGCTTGTATTTCAAAAGAAAGTGATCGTAAAATGCCGATCGCACGACATATTGCACTGAATGGAAATCGATATCCGCCTTTATGGTGCGCAAGCGCTTATAAATTTTGGTACAACTGGCCTGAAACTTAATATATTCATTCAACAAGTTTAATATCAATATATTTGTTGAAAAATAGCTATCATGTCAAAATAAGAAAACGTAAGATTCTCATACGAATAGGCAATGTTTTTTTATGAGCGACTGTTCATCTGCAGTTGCCAGGGACGGTAATAACAAGGTCAACTGCTCAAGGTAAGAGTGACTGTTCGAAATAAACAATGTTAAAAAGTGGCTTATTAAAAGTATAACAAGTACGATCGTACTATAGTGGACCAGGAACTGCGTGACCCAGTTTCGATCTTGTGCAAGTCGTTAAATGTTCAAAACCTTCGAGATTTGACTTGATAAACAAATAACTAGACACTTTAATTTGGTCATGCAAGATAAACTTTATTCGAGCAAAAAATGTGTCTAGTCATGCCGTGAATAAATGAGTGTAAATCTGGACAAAGCATATAGATAACTAAATGCGCAGTTTTCAAAAGTAACTATATACTCTTATTTCATGATTGACTCGGTTTTCTTTGATGTACCGCGGGCTGTATATAGCATAATGCCCTTGAATACCATAAAGCCCTAATTAGTCAAGAAATAAGCGAGAAAACTAGAAAAATACTTGTCGAAATCGAAAAAAAAAGAATAAAACTTTGTTAGAAAACCTCTTCAATCATGAAATAAGTCAGTTAATTACCTCGAATGTCGGGCTTTATGCTATATAAAGCCCTCGAACGCTTCGCGTTCTCGGCGCTGTATATAGCATAAAGCCCTCCTTCTCGGTAATTAACTCTTACTTATTGAAATTAGATAAGTTAAATGTCCCACAGTATTAAGACTAAACATGCCGTGTAAAATTTAACTTTTGCCGTAACAAATTTTGCCGTGCCGTGCGTGCCATTGCAAAATATTGCAGCTACAGTCGTGTATACGTGCCGTGTAAACGGGACTTGAGTTAAGGTAACAAATTATCTGAATTGTTGCTATAGTATAGGTTAATGCAGTTCATTTCGCTTGGTAATGGCTTCATAACTGCATGCTTGTGCTAAAAACAAATTGACATGTCTTTGTTTTTATGGTTCGCGATTTTCTGGCTATGCATGACTATGAATATTATATGATAGCCAGATAGGAGTATAGTACTCCTCTGCGCTTTGAGAATCTAAGCCAGCGTGTTAAATTAGTCAATTTAAGTCCTAACGCTTATAATTAATCGTTATAATTAGCCGTCCACATTCTTGAGAAGCTTTAGACTATTGTGATTGTGTTCACAACGAACAATAGAAAAGACAATGTCTTTCTTATCATTTGCGTTTGCTGATATATTTGCTGAATATTAATGATATGTATATATTAATTGCTACGAATACAGTCAAAAATTGCTTGTATTTCGCTTCTAAAGTCAAAAATGAAAAATCGAACACCGTCAATCGATGCGGAATATTGCTTAGAATAATTATGTCAAGTTTCATTCCGATCGGACAAGTAATGACGGGAGCCTTAGGGTTTTTTCAAAGAGCGTCGCCCCCTAACAACAACAACAACAACAACAACAACAACAACAACAACAACAACAACAACAACAACAACAACAACAACAACAACAACAACAACAACAACAACAACAACAATAACAACAACAACAACAACAACAACAACAACAACAACAACAACAACAACAACAACAACAACAACAACAACAACAACAACAACAACAACAACAACAACAACAACAACAACAACAACAACAACAACAACAACAACAACAACAACAACAACGACAACGACAACAACAACGACAACGACAACACAACGACAACGACAACGACAACAACGACAACAACGACAACAACAAGATTAGCAGCGATTACAACAACGACAACAACAAGATTAGCAGCGATTGGGGACCAGTTCCTGGTCCAAAAACTGAGAATAATTTGCTTATGAATATGAGCAATTTTACTCAATATTTTGAGTCGCTGCATGGGCACATTATTTCACAGGCCAGGTTTTTGTAATTATGAGTAAAAAGACTCAGGGATTTATTGCAGTGAAATGCCGCTATTAATATGCTCAAAATCATTTTTCGATGTCCCCACTAAGTATCAATCTTAACTGGTGTTAATGTTTGCCAGTTTGGGCATCAAAATATTAACATACCTACACTATACATTTCTCAAATTCATCGTTGTATAGTTAAAAGTATTAATCTTTCAACTACTTTCGCCGATTTGTTCAAAAAAATACAAATTGAAAGTTTTAAAATTTTAAATAATTGTGTTGCGGCCCTGCGTTCTGTGTAGGCCAATCGCTAATACGTTATGCATGTTAAATTAACATTTGGAAAATAGAGGCGAGGGGTTGATGCATGCATGTAGTTTCTAGTCTATATTAAAGTTTACGTTGTAGTGGCACAGAATATACAGCGGGGTTCTTTTCGAGATGCCCTGTATTAATAATAATCTGGTAGTCAAAAGCTAGCAATAACAGAGCGTCTGACTCATAACAATTAAATGCTGCCGACCGATTACGTAAGCAAAAATTGCACAGTGGTGGCTCCAACATTAGGGAGCTTTAAATTTGACGACGAGTACGACTACGAGTACGAGATTTGATCGCGTGCGAGGAAATTACCGTAGTCGTTTTCGTTTAGTTTCAAATGTTGCTTTTATAACAGTAAACCAACAACGAGAGAGAAAGTTTCATAAACTAAATCTCCTGCAGACTAAAATCCCCTACAAAACGTGTAAATAAGTCATAACATTAAAAACAGGCCAGATATTTAGTACGAATATATTATTTGCGCCGGATAAACGCTATATAAATGCTACAAATTATTTTTGGGTAACAAAAAAAAGCCAACTTTCTTTGTTTTTTTTTTAAAAGTCGTCGTGAGGACTACCAGATTTCTCCACAATTTCGTACTCAGATGGGCGACGGCTACGACTTTTTCGCGTCAGTACAGGATGGCGTAAGCATACAGCGTGCGTTTAGCTTGACGAATCTCGTACTCGTAGTCGTACTCGTAGTCAAATCTAAAGCTCCCTATTTCCCTGACGAGAGCACGTAGGTCCCTGGCATCAAGCGTAGTTGCAGCCAATGAAAAAATAAAAAAAACCCCAAAAAAACAGCAGTAACCCCGAAAACGATAAACAGTTTGGAAAGTGTTTATTCGACATTTCGACTAAGTTCTGTTTGTTTTGCCTGCAGGTGCATTTCGAGGCTACTATTCGGCAATAAAGTACAATTATCTTATAAACATACACTCAGGGCAAGAAATTTTCTTGCTTCTCTATTTTTATCCGACAGTGAGCTACAGGGTGTATAAAAAAAAGGTAATCGCACTTTAGCGCGCTATTGTATCTGAATTACTCTGCCTATGAACGAGATTTTTTCACGTTCAGAAAGATCATGCTTTTAGCTGTTGAATGATATCTTCTTCTGATTCTTCATGCCAAATGGATAAAAAATGAGCAAATACGAATCCGATAAAAAATGTTAGTCAGAATCGTATATTTTCACCGTTGAGAGTTGGGTCTAAAACCATTGAAAATGAACCCTCTTTGGTACTTAAGTTGATGAATTTCACTTCAATATGTATTCATAATTATTATCAAGTAGGAATAAATCTTAGCTAAGCTACGACACGTTCGTGATTAATTGCTTTTACTTTTGTTATGCATTGTTTTAATTAGGCACAGAGGTGAAAATATGCGATTTTGACTAACATTTTTAATCGGCCTCGTACATGTTTATTTTTCCTCCACTTGGCATGAAAAGCATGTCATTCAATAGCTAAAATCTGATCTTTCCGAATATGAAAAACAATTGTTCATATGCCGAGTAATTCACGTACAACCTCGTTCCCAGGGCTTCAGTGTGAGGACGAGGCGAGACACGAGGAAGCCCTGGTCCGGGCCGGTCAATTTTGCATTCTGATTGGCTAACACCATATTGTCTAAAAATAACTGAACTTGACAGTTGACAATAACAATTCAACATTTGTATTTTTATACGATTCTTGTGTGTACGAGTATGTTTTGCAAAATAATCTTTCAAAGTAAGACGTTTTCCCGACTGCATGATTTACTTTCGCCTCTGACTCAAAAGCCGTGTCGAAGTGAGCTGTGATGTTTCCTGACAAAACAAGAAACGTCTACTATTAATATTTAAGCTGTAGTTTTCCTTGTACAGTATTTATTAGTGCAGATGTCTGACGAAATACAACGCGTATTGCATTGTAGTAATATTTTAATTTACAATATTCTCGGTACTGACAAATAAAAGCAAGATAAACAATTAAATGAAACTACTAAATTAATTTAGGCCCTGTTTACTTAATAGCTCTACGCCTAGGCCGATGTCCATGTAGTCTCTACAAGATTCGCACGCCACCCAGTTTTTCAGTTTCAGAATACTCCGAATACTTGAAAATTGCGACTATACGATAAAGTAAAACAAAGATTGTGAAGGGGATATACAACACGGCAAGTGTTGGTGTCCGGCGAAACAAGCGAACCGTATATTCCTGTACAGCGTAAACAGGTTACGCGAGGTTTTATATTTGTGTTTATTTAATATATTGAACTAAGTCAGATCTATAAGAGCATATTTAAACTAAATATTAATTATAGCAATAGCCATATTGTTCAAGACGAGAGAAAGGAAATTTCGTGTGAATCACCACTTGCATGGAGACGCCTAGATGCAGCTTGGATGCAGAACTTTGCCTGTATCCTAGCTAATTCGTGTCAAACTTCGCTCTACACATAAATAATATCGATTGAGAAGCCTTTTGGCTATTTATTTGTTTCGAAGACTTGTATATTTCATTAAAGAATATCTCGCCACTCCTTGACGAGTAGCTGTCAAATACTGCCATTTTTTGACGTCACGTGACCGGCCCGGACCAGTGAGGGCTTCCTCGTGTCTCGCCTCCACCTCACACTGAAGCCCTGGGAACGAGGTTGATTCACGTATAATAGCGCGCTGAAGTTCGTTTACCTTTTTTTTTATACACCCTATGTCGGGGTAGTCAGCACAAGGTAGTCAGCACAAGCCCCCCTGAAGTAGCCCCGCCTTCTTCCTTATCAATGCTATACATGTATATGTTTGTAACTCTTTAAAAGGCCGATCGAATTTTCAATACGGCAACGAACTGAAGAGGTCGAAAGACGAAACATGTATTTTTATAGGCCCATAGTTCCTTTAATTAGGATTTACATCATTTTCCAAATGTTCAATGACCAGTATTTTCCATTAATCGTTTCATCAAGTGTAGAATGTCAAACATTAAACATATTAAACAATTTGTAGAATTGAACATGAAAATTAATTTTTCTTAAGTGAAACAAGCTCCAATAAAGAGCTTTAGAAAGAATTGTTAATTATACGCTGAGCGTTTTCAATCTATATACGAAATCGATCAATTAAACAATAATAAATGGATGAAATTATTATTTGAGAAAATTTAAAATCAACTTTAATAAATCAACTTTTAAGTAAAATAACTGCTGTCAGTACAGTATATTGCACTAGGGCTAAATATTATTCATATATATTGTTATTAAGTAGATAAGTTTTTCAATGTAAATAATGTAAAGTGCCATTGGTTTACTGCCGAAGAAATGGCGCTATATAAATGATTAAATATTATTACTATTGTTATTATTATTATTATTATTATTATTATTATTATTATTATTATTATTATTATTATTAGTAGTAGTAGTAGTAGTATTATTGCATCAAACGGGCTTAGTGGCTAGTGCCCAAAAGTTCCAAGCATGCAGTCCTTCGATTTTGTTTTCGTTGACCAAGAGTTCCATATTGTTCAACAACTTTTGTATTTCGTTGATGCTGAGCCTCATGCAGTGACGTCATATTAAACATAAGAACCGAACCAGTAATTCGTTGTTGAATTTGGATATTCTGTACAACGAAATGCGGGATCGTAAGTGTGGTACGCCCCAAAATAGTAGTTTTCACTCTCGTCGCTTTTTATATCGCAGAAAGGGTCTGGACTAACGGCGGGGATAGTCAGGGTAAAGTTATCACCCTGCCGCCAGTATGCGGTACAGTTTGAACAAGATTGTCCCATGACACTTATGTAACTCACGTTTTTGCACCCATCCCAAAATTTACCCATGAAATCAAAATCGGCAAACGCAGCACGGACGTAGTCAGTCTTGACGTTGACTGCAGATTGCTGAAAACTGCATGTAACTCGCCAATGAGTTGCTCTGGACTTTACATAAACCATCATACTCTTGCCCATCCGGTAGTCAGACCAATTAGGAGCGAGTTTGTTTCGGGAGGAAGGTGCAGAAATTTGTATGGATTTGAATGCGCTCAAGTCTTTGTTTTTTCTCGAAAATGACATGATGAGAGTCCAAACGGATCTTCGTTCAGATTCCATATCACAATACACTGTGCGAAGGTTTTGTGCTTGATCCAAGATGATGTAATTACCCGATGTTTTATAACCATTGACGAAATGGTCAAGACAACTTGAAGCAGTTGTGTTTGCCTATAAGGAAACAAAATGGCCGCACAAATCGTAAGTTTGTAAACTACGATTTTCTAAATTTGTTGTTAAAATTAAGAATGTAAAAGACAAGAAAATGCACAACAGGCAACAGGATATGCAGTTAAAATTTACCGTTTTAATGGAACTTTAAACTGGCTTGATGTCACTACATAAGAAAACACTTAATGCCCGTTGCCTCGAGAAAGAGTTTTGTTTCCCCTTGAATCTCAACATTGAGACTCCCGGGACTATTTCCCTCAAGAGCAGAATTTAAGTGTATAAGTTGTCGAATTCACTTAATATGTAGAACTTTTTTGGTTATTTAAAAGAGATATAGCTTGGTCCGGCTGGAGCGTCCTGTTGCATGGATAAAACGAAAAGAAAGAATCTGATGAATTAATAAAATAAAATATTGTAAAATAACTGATATTTATAGACTGAAGTCCAGTAAGTGTTCATTATTAATGGAGACCATCTTCGTTCATACACCAGACCAAACACAAGAATCAAATGCGGCTGCTATATAGTGACAAACATGACTGATTCCCGAAGTACGACTCCGTAAGAGTATAAAATTACTACCTGTTCAGTTACATTCTCTTTCCTCTGTGTGTTTTCTGATTCGTGTGATACACTAAGTATCCGATAAAAAGTGTATCTATCATCTTTCACGAACTTCAATGAATTTGCATCACCATTCTTGGTTTCATTGTGTAATTGACAATTCTCCTTGCCACCATTGAACGAAGTAGGTTCAACATAATTGAGAGATGTGCAAGTCAATTTTCCTCTGAGGCAAAACAAGACACAATCCAATGCTGTCTTCGCTCTTGTGCTGTTGTACGCTTCGTGCTGAGAGCGAACACCTGAAAAGTCCATGCCAGATACAGTGATGATGAAATTAAAACGCACAACACGCGATCTTATATCTATTAATTATAACTGGTCTTGTTCATATGAGGCCCAGTCGCTTGTTGATTTTCTAAACTTGGGGTCGATACTTAGTTGGAACATCCACAATATATTTGAGAAAATTATTGTACTTAATCAGTTTTTTAATGTAAAATATCCCTGAGTATTTTGGCTCAAAAACTTGAGTGAAATAATGCACAAATTGAACGACTCGAAATATTGAACAAATTTACTTAAATTTATGAGCAAATTTTATTCAAGTCTTTTAAAAAAATTGAGTAAATTTAATTTCCTCGTAAATTTCAGTAATTTGATTAAAAGTTATAATTAAGGCGCATTATTTTACTGAGTAATTTTGACTCAAATATTTTAGTTAAAAATAATCATTGTATTTTGCAATATTGACTTTATTTGGGGCAAACATTTAGTAAACTTACATTACGCTGAGGACAAGCAATATTAGCACTGATCTGTACATTTGGTCTGAACGTGCCAAGTTTACTTATTAATATAACTTTCAAGTGGTTTTGTTTGCGACTCTGAACTTGCAAGTGTAAATCGCAAAGATTAGGTATTTAAGTTTCAATTAAGTAAGTCCCATTTTCGTATGAAATGATAAATTTTTTCTACGCACAATGACGCACCTTGTTTGATTCCAAAGAATTGCTGTTCCTGTGGATTTCGTTCTTCCGTTAAAGCTTCACCAAGGACTATAGAGAAGTAGTATAGCAACACCGTCCAGAATAGTTGGTTTTCAATGAAGTTGACGATCATGACTGCCAAAAACTATAACGAGAATTAAGGATTTATTTGAGTTTGTAGCGAAAAATGCCAAAGCCGGAGCGAAGTGCGAACGTAACGCTACCCACACCTGCCGCCAATCAGAGCATACTGAAGTAACTAATTTATAATGCATCGATCCGCATCTATATTATTATAATAAGTCTTGTTTAACTAAACTTGTATAATACTTAGCTGATGAAATATTAATTGTTCAATTATATTTTTAAGATTGTACTAAAAGCTTTAGTAAACTATTATCTCAAAATTAATTTAAACATAGAATTAGAGTATTATATAAAGGATATTATGGAATTAGAACTTGTCGCGTCTCAAGGTCAAGAAGAAAAAATAAAACAATTAAATGCCATATACTTTATAGTGTATCACTTGGAATACTGGTATATCATTTAGCATCTTGCTTTATAATTAAACATTTAATTCTTTACTCACTTTATTCCTACATATACTCCTCGTTTTACCTTTAATTCCTTGTCTTACCTTCTTAATTCCTTCTTTTACGATTATAGATATTTTTAACATGGCTACGGTTGAAAAGAACCCGAAAATATCTTAAATTTACATTTTATAATTAGCATATAGGCGTATATATACGAAACAGGAATAATTGGGGAAAATCAAAAATATTCGGATCAATTTCTTGCAAAATGTGTTAAGTTCATGCCATTTCTTTACAATACAGGGCCCTATATGCGAAGGACCAGCTGGATACGATTAATTTTTGGTATAGTTATATAGCAATGTTCATGACAAAAACTGGCATTTCCGGTCACTGTTATATGCTGAACGGCTAGAATGACTTGAATGCCATGAGTTTTGAATGCCTAAATCAATTAGTATTCATGTATGTCAAAATCTTGCAAAAATAGAATGGTTTGTTAAGAGATACCCTGGTTCCAGATGCTCTTTACGAGGCGGTCAGAAACGATCGAGAGGCGAGAACAGCGAACCTCTGGACACATCGATTGCAAATCCCACTTCTACACTTGATTAGGCTCAAAATTTGAACTCGCATGTGATTGGCTATCTGTAGAAAACATGTCAAACCGGTTTGGGAAAATAAACATTGCTGCATGTAAGCTAATTATAGCCTGTATTAAAATATTCTATTAAACTCAAACAAGCATGAATGTTAATACTCTTGTGGAAAAGGTATCAAACTGATTAATATCAATATGTTTATATCTCCTGAGAAATTTGATACCTTTTTCACAGGAGAATTAATATTCATGCTTTGATTGAGTATAATAGAATATTTTTAATACAGGCTATAATTAGCTTACAGTAATGTTTATTTCCCAAACCGGTTTGAACATATTTTTACAAATAGCGAAGTGAGATTTGCAATCGATGTGACCAGATCAGAGGCTCTCTGTTCTTGCCTCTCGTTTCTTTCGCCTCGCAAAGAGCGTCTAGAACTAGGGTGGATATAAGAGAGCGTCTGACTCAAAACAAATGCTGCTGACTGACCGCTTACGTAAGCGAAAATGGCACTGTGGTGGCTCGAGGGCACTAAAGTCTTTTTGAACTATATAATACAACATTCATTTGTTCTGTCTGTTCAGCTTTAACTAGGGTGTATTTTCTGGGAAATTTGCGAAAAAATGCAATGATCTTGTCACGAAAATGTTTCTTGCCTAAAAAATGCTAATTGTCGCCGACATGAAGTTATTAAATAACAAATGCTTGAACATATTATTTGAGCAAATTTAAAATTAATTAATTTTAACAAATAATTTTTTAAGTAAAATAACTGGTGTACTGTATGATTAAATTAAGTTATTTTAGCCATTGATAATATATTGGTTAACACGGACAGAAAATGCCAGTCTTTGTCCATGAACATTGCTAACTAACTACAGGGTGTCCCAAAAAAAAGTGACACTATAGAAATTATCTCATTGTTCTTAAACGGCTCTTAAACGCGCGTGATTACACGCCTGGGTATTTAATGAACTTGTATTTACATTTAAGCAATTTAAAACGTTTTCGCTTTGTCCAAATATTTAAACGCCCGAGTCAAGCAAAACGATTACACTAATAAACGGTTTGCTTTTTTATTTTAAATTCCAGAAGCAGAAGTTTATGCACCTGTGGGATCAACTTAATGCTAGGGCATTCAAATTATAACAATAGGATATTAATTTCTATAGTGTCACTTTTTTTTGGGACACCCTGTATATACCTCATTTGTATTAAAATTCGCGTCCTACTCATTTTCGCGCAACTTTAAATTCGCTCAAGTAATTTAACGCATTTATAATGAGTATTTTTTATCAACAAATACTTCAATATTTGTCAAAATCAAATGAAAAAAGGCGATTAGATGGCCTCAAAAATGGCTTCAAAATTATGTAATGTCAGCAAAATTTATGATAACAATAAAGCGTGAGTACAAAATACCAATAAGAACTAAAAAAGTATTGTACGGTTCTCATTTACCTCATACAATAATCTTTATTAGCATTCCCATATATTATAGGTTTATAAATGGTATTGCCTAACATTATACTTTATAAGTCAAAAAAAAAATTTAGCTACAGTTCAAATGGATCTTCTTTTCGTTGTGCCTCCTCATGTTGTTGTCCAATGCAAATTTGAGGATCTATACGTACAGCAAAATGAAGGCATTCGTGACGGAATACTACGTGGCACCTGCATGAGAATATCGAGTCTGAGAAACTGTCCAGGATGAAGATGAAGATATTCAGTATTTTACCAGGACAACTTAAAACATATGTCAAATGTGTATGCGTTAATAAATCAACTGATTTTCAGCATTGAGCGTCTCACATTATATCACAAAGATTTTCGCGCGGATTATATTTCGCGCATGAGTACTAAAATTTGCGCACTCAGCGCTGCGCGAATTCTAGTGTTGCGCGAATTTTAATACAAGTAAGGCATACATATATCACAAGCGCATGCAGCCAGTCCTTTCCAGGGCTGTTGATTACAAATTTATCCTAAGTTTCTAGATTTTCCCCAATATTTTCGAACGTCGTTCGTTTTTACTTAATTATTTGAAGGGCAATTCGTCCCTTGCCTTCCCTGTTGCGCACATGCCTATGCTAATTGCTGCCGAAGGCAGCACACTGTTCTTAACATGAACTTTTGCATGTCTGCGTTTACTTGTGCCCACTCTCTTTGGCCGAGTTATGTATAGTCGATCGAGATTTCTGTCTGTCTGTCTGTCTGTCTGTCTGTCTGTCTGTCTGTCTGTCTGTCTGTCTGTCTGTCTGTCCGTCCGTCCGTCCGTCCGTCCGTCCGTCCGTCCGTCTGTCTGTCTGTCCGTCCGTCCGTCCGTCCGTCCGTCCGTCCGTCCGTCCGTCCGTCCGTCTGTCTGTCTGTCTGTCTCTCTGTCTGTCCGGAGAAATAATTAAGGCTTCGGGAAGTTTTTTAAAAGAGAGGGGCGGTCAAACTTATTTTGTATTACGCTCGCACGATACACCTCTGCATAACCTCTGCATGATACATATATGTTGGATTTTCACAAATCGACGATATTTTGAATAATTCAGGCAAGGATAGCTTTATTTCTTTCTGGTGATATTACATGAAGGCATTTATATTTATATCTGCTGTTGAGCGTTCAATATGAGGTATTTGAAACAATAGATCGTCTTTATATTTAGGAGTCAAAATGTACTTTTGGTTTATTTGTTAAATTGTGTGGCGATGAGTTTATAGTGTTCATTCTAGATGTTCATAAACAAAGCGATTTGCTTTCAGAACGTTTTAAAAACAAACGCTGAATGTTGTGCATGGTTTATTATAATGTAAAGATATTTCCTATAGCAAACCATGCAGTTAATAACCCAGTGACAGTGTGGATTAGTGTCGGCATATATAAATTTACCAGCAGTTAGCCTACATGTATTAAAATATAACATGTCAACCGATTTTGGTACAAAGTAAGGAGGTCTGTAAAAATACATCTCCGATATATGTCCATTGTTAGCATAAACATGAAATAATCCTACCGGCTACAGGGCTACATTCATATATTCACCCTCCTGGTTGTGTGCATGTGTCACCACATTTCAGGGTATGCTATATTTTTCGATAATGCTCATAATTTCTTTCTTATTATATAGTTTTGCAGTTCTGACTGAGTAAAATCTTAGTCATTACAAAGGAACGGTGTCATCTGAAGCAGACGTATTAAACAAAAATGTCAACAAAAATCTCCCCATCAGCAGATTGTTCAGTTGTTCTGTGAACATAGCCTTGAAGGTGTCATTAAAATGATAATATCATGATTGCGGGTATTCCCTTTGTTCTTGCAGGGCAATTAAAAACTAATACACCTCATTATATGCATTTTTTCTAAACCTACCCGCTCTTAGAGGGTCCTGAAGGGGGATCCCAATCCCATTTCTCACCTGAAATTTTGGCAAAATCCCAGTCCCAGTTGGATTTTTATTAGAAATCCCAGTCCGAGTTATTGAAATCCCAGTCAATAAAAAACCCTTTATTTATCGGTAGAATAAACAGTTTTAAGACTTTTTAAGCCACCGTGTGTGCAAGTGGCGGACACTTTATGAAATACTGGGGGGGGGGGGCTCGTACCAAAGGCACGGAAAATTTTTAAATTTGAATCCCGGAAATGGCATTTGCAGCATTCTGAGATACGCACAATCAGAAAACCCAGAAATCCGGCCGCCAGAGTATGCCTGTTTGCAGGTAGTGCTGTGAATAATATAGTTAACAACAAAAATCATGACCAAAGACACCAAAAACGGATCAAAATTGTATTTTAAAATACTTAAAACATAGAAAATTGGGAATCGACTCGCATTGCCTCAATCCCATTCCCATTTTTGAAGACTTCATTTCCCATTCCCAGTGGCCAAATCCCAGTCCCAGCAACCCAAATCCCATTTTCCCAGTCTAAAAATAGATCAATCCCAGTTCCCATTTTACCCCTTCAGCTAGGGCCCTCCTCTTATGTCATGTCAGGTAGGATTAGTTCTAATCTTACCCGATACGACGTCAAAGCGGGTACGATTAGAAAAAATGAATATAAATGAGATATCTGAAATCGCCAAAAGGCCCAAAACTAAACAAAGACATGGAAAACAATTATACCATTTAATTTATACCATTATTAATAAATAATTTTTAATGGCCCTGCGAGAACAAAGGGAATACCCGCAATCATGATATTATAAGGTAATAGCATAAAAAGAGGCGAATTAGCTCTTGAAAACGTCCCGCCCGATGACGGTCGTTTAGTAAAATTCCCTGGGGTGCCGCTCGATTCGGGTCATTTAGAAAATTTCCCCCGGGCCTTCGGCCCTCGGGAATTTTACTAAATCCCTCATCAAGCGGCGCCCAAGGGAATTTTACTAAACGGCCCTCATCGGGCGGGACGTTTTAATAGCTAATTCGCCTCTTTTTATGCTATTACTTATAATAATTGGGACAAAGACTGATTATTTCTATATATAAAATTGTTATTAAATTTTACATGTCCAATGGTTCATTCAAGTATTATAATTGTTTATATATATATATATGATATTGTACAGTATTCAGTGGCAAGCTAGCCATGGCAACCAGTCATGCTATTCTAGCAAACCTACAATGCAAATCAAAAACTTGCATAGCATGACTGTTGTTATGGCTGTTATAATTATATATACAAAAGCAAGAAGTTATAAGCATTGAATGTATTCATATAAAATCACCCATGCCAACAAAGTAGAATTGGAATAGGTAGCTGGACCTTCGACATTGTGCAAGGTGTTTGGTATTCAAAATGCACTTTCCCTACCCCATGAACAGATCTTAAGAGCTGTTTACATGATGGAAGGTGGGATGATTTTGAGTATTGAAATAAGTCACTAGGCTAAATGAAAGTTCAAATGCTGGTTAACAGAACTGAATTGTTATAGACCATGACTTATTTCAATACATCGAAACCGCCCTGCCTCGTATCTCGTCCTGACAAAGCAGGATCATATAAACAGCCCCTTATTCAGCAAATTGCGCATGCTGGCTTTGATCCATTGGGGATGAGGCAGCACGTTCTTTGAGATAGTAACTTTTAGTTTTAAAGTATAGATAGAAGACATTTGCGGGGTTTTTTCAACCCTAGTCTTGTCAGAATCGATTTTTAGAAGCTCTTCGAATTTGTATGCACAATTGACAGGTTAAATTAATTTAAAGCGTTCGATGTAAATTAATTAATTTTAAGCAAGATGCTAGATGATATATAGAGGGGGTGGGCAAGGGTATTTTCGTGACTCGTGCATGATTAGCAATTATTCGTGCTTCGTGATTCATGATTTAAAGAAATGCCATTCCGTGAATCGTGATTAATATGCGTGCCGTGAATCGTCAAGAGCTAAAAGGCTAGCTAGGGTCTTGAATTTACCAATATTTTACCCTAACTTGTGAATGTTTACGTTTAAAACTCGGCCTAAATTTAATATTATGGGGAAAAAATGAATAAACTTGCTTCCCGCAGTTGTCTTCCTGGAGGCTTCTTCGTTTCATCGGTAAACGTCGTTATCGTATACCTTCGTACCTCTTCGTAAACTTCATGAACAATCGTACGACGCTCGTAATGTTCCGTAATGCCTCGCAATGATTTCCATAGTCCTTCAAACGGCTCTAATGTTAAAGTTAGTATGTGTTAAATGGTTGCAGACTTTGTTACGCTTCTGTGCTTCTAAAAATCGTGAAAATGAAATTTTGTTTTTCGTGACTCGTGGAATCGAAAAATGATCTTCGTGATTTCGTTACGAGACCCCCCCCCCCCCTTGCCCTCCCCCTATATACCAGCGTTCCAAGTGATACACAATATGTTTTTTATATGGCAATTATTTCATTTTTTTCTTCATAAACGCGAAACGCGGTATATTTAATAATATATATAATTAATTCCATAATATATTTTACATAATATTCTAATTCTATTAATATTTTAATTTTGTAATTTAAAAGCTTTTAGTTTAATCTTAAAAATATTATGAAACAATTAATATTTTATTCAGTACTTTAGAAGTTTAGATAGACAAGACTAAATTACTTCAGCATGACCCGATTGGCGACAGGTGTGGGTAGCGTTAAGCGTTCGCACTTTGTTCTTGCTCATTCATTCGTTACAAACTAAAGATACCTTTCTCGTCATATTTTTTTGGCTATCATGGTCTTCAACTTCATTCAAAGGCAACTATTCTGGACGTTATTGTTATACAACATCTCTATAGTCGTTGTTGAAGCATTTAAGGCAGAACGAAATCCACAGAAACAGCAATTTTTTCGAATCAAACGAGGTGCGTAGAAAATATTTACAATTTTAAGAAAATGGGAGTCTTATACTTTGTAACTTAAATACTTAAACTTGGCGATAGCATCCATTTGCAAGCTAGTTCAGGTCCGAAAGTAGCCTGAAATAGCGTTAGCCGCATATTTCTTAGGCTGATCCGAAAACAAAACCACTTGAAAGCTAAAAACTTGACACGTTCGAACCAAATTTAATTTAGAAATTGTTAATATTGCTTGTCCTCAGTGTGGTATACGATTATTAAGTTTTACTCCAAATAAAGTCAATATTTATACTTTGACTGAAATTTTGACTGTAATTTTGACTGTAATTTTGACTCAAAATTTGAGTAAAATGAAGCACTAACAGTGCCTCATTAGTGAAATTACTCAAATATATGAACAATTTTACTGAATCTTTTAGTATAAGATTTACTTTTAAATTACTTAAAAATTGAGCATATTTTCCTATGAATATGAGCAATTCTATTCAATATTTTTACTCGCTGCATGGGTACATTATTTCACCAGGTTTTTGTAATTACGAGTAAAAAGACCCGGCGATTTATTGCAGTGAAATGCCGCTATTAATATGCTCAAAATAATTTTTTAGATGTTCCAACTAAGTATCAATCTCAACTAGTCTTAATGTTTCGACAAGCGACTGGGCGTCATATGAACACGACCAGTTATAATTAATCGATAAACGATTGCGTGTTGTGCGTTTTAATTTCATCATCACTGTATGACATTAACTTTTTCAGGTGTTCGATCTCAGCGGGAAGCGTACATCAGCTCAAGAGCGAAGACAGCATTGGATTGTGTCTTGTTTTGTTTCAGAGAAAAATTGACTTGCACATCTCTCAATTATGCTGAATCTACTTCGTTCAATGGTGGCAAGGAGAATTGTCAGTTACACAATGAAACCAAGAATGATGATGCAAATTCATTGAAGTTCGTGAAAGATGATAGATACACCTTTTATCGGATACCCGGAGTATCACACGAATCAGAAAACACACAGACGACAGAAAATGTAACTAAGCAGGTAGCAACCTCGTTCCCAGGCTCTTCCCTCTTTAGGAGGAAAGACCCTGGCAATAGCTTGTCACGTGGCTCCCTGAAAATTGATTGCCTAAAGGGGTGTGGGGAAAGTATCATATTACATGCTTCCACTTCCACACTTTACACTTCGATCGCTAGGAGTGAGTGTTCTGTACAATGAACTTTGAGAATCACATATACGTCAAAATACTTTGATTTCTGCTAAATTTGATTTCTGTTGCTGTTAAATTATAAAAATATGCAAAACAGATTTTTTTAGCAACAAGTCAGAAAATCAAGCAATAAAAACGTATGATCATATGTTCTATTGTTCTTATGCTCTCTCGGGGCTTGCCGCTTTGGCGGACATAATTTGAAAGGCACTAGTTCATTTCACACGTTTCTGCTCTGCCTTTGGTTCACATATTTGCAATCTTATAATATGTCACTATTATCTGCAGGAAACGGTATACAGTAAACTGTGCATTGATATACTTGTTAATTTCTCTAGGTTTTTCGGTAAAGGTTACACATTTGAACACTAGCCAAATACTTAAATGACATTGAATGTTTTATTCATTCTAAAACTGTTTATGTACTGTTTAATAAACGAGCAGGAGTGTTTTATTAGGTTTAAAGCCACAAGCGCGCAGCGCGAGTGGCTTTAGACCTAATGAAACACGACCTGCGAGTTTATTAAACGGCTTCAAACACGACTACAAATTCAATAGATTTACTGCCTTATTAGTATTCTTTATATAAAAAATACTAATGAGGGCACGACTACAATAGATACTGCCTCATTAGTATTCTTTATATAAAGAATACTAATTAGGAGTGTTTTATCAGGCTTAAAGCCACTGCATGTGACATATTATGGTTGACATGATTTGCCAATATATAAGCTTATGAATTATTAATGAGTTTGAAAGACTGTTTATATATGCTATTGATTTTAGTGAAAAATATTGATAGTTCAATGTTATAAACACTGGGTATTGCAGGAAGGAGTGTATAAGGTACAAAAATTGTTAGGGAGCAGTTTAAAGCAGTTTAGCAAAGTATTTTATGTGCATCCCTGACAAAATGTAGAGACACTTTATACCATATAATACATAATTCAAAAATTAACAGTCTATCTACATACACACAAGGTTTTTCGCACAGACATATCGTTACTTTTATACTTTATGAGATTTTATAAGCATTTTAAAGTTTCTATTGATATATTGATACGCTGTTTGTCTCTAGTGCAGCATAGTGGATGCTAAATGTAAAGGCAATACTTATATAGTGATACAAGCTCAATCTCATGCTATTCCACAACAAAATAAAATTTAGGATAGATCAAGCTGCAAAGCTACTGACCACAAAAGCTCTTTATAATATTTATAATGTGCCTGGTCTGCAATAAATATGAAATAACTGTATGTACGCATAGTATACAATAGTCAATACTATATTTTGACTTGTGTATAATTTAAATATTCAAATTGTTCCGCACGCAACGGAGGAGTCTTTGCTTTTGCCTGCATCGGTTGACTTTACAATACGTCTGATAACAGATAGCTGTACCTCGACATAATTCTTGATAATATAGAGTCTCAGCGATGCCAAAACGGTATATTATATCACAGTCTCCGACGGGCTTTTCACAGACTTGAGAGCATGTTGTTTAGAATTTACACACAGTTGGCGGGATCACAGGATCTTGCTATTTTACAGCAATTCCATGTCTCTACATAAGGTAAATCCGTTGGGTTTACGTATCGGACAGGATACATAACACCTCAACATTGACAACAGTCACAACCATATTATAACAAGGTATTGTAGCCTGCAAACCGGAAAACATTAACCTAGTAATTTAAACTTATAATCAGAGTGTGGACAATATATAAGTGTGTAATTTTTAGACAATAAAGTTGTTGTTACTCAAACCTCTCTAAGCGAAAGTTACCTACGTTAGCAGTAAGTCATAATGTACCTAAGTCAAAACCAGTGAAGGAATCCCAGAAATTCGAAGGCAAAAGTTCCTGGGAAGCTTTCCTCGTCCAGTTTGAAATTGTCGCTAGGATGAATGGTTGGGATGATGATCAAAAAGCTATGTTCCTAGCGACATCTCTTCACGGAAATGCAACATTGATTTTAAGTAATTAACATGTCACCGAACGATCGTGAAGACTACGCAAAACTTGTTATGGTTTTGTCAAGTCGTTTTGGGATAACTCGTCAATCAGATTTAGCTAGAGCGAAGCTCAAGACTCGAATAAAGAGAAGAGAAGAAAACTTGCCTGCATGAGTTGGCTGAGAGTGTGGAAAGCCTGACACAAAAGATGTCCATGACATGCAAGATGTCCTTGCTAGGGATCATTTCATTGATGCCTTGTACGAGGATGACCTTCGCCTACGAGTTCGATAAGCCCGACCACAATCCTTACAAGTAGCTAGTAGAGGGCGAGGTTGGTGATAGAAGCCCCTTTAAAGAAAAAGAAGCAGGTTGTGAATCAAAGTTGAATGAACTGCATTGTTTGATAACTCAGTTGCTAAAAGAAATGAAATTTGGTTCCCGTGAGCGATTCCCCTCCAATCGTTATCGGCGATCGCCAGAGCGAGGACAGCGCAAGTGTTGGACGTGGGGAGTTCAGGTTCACCTCGCAAAAGATTCTAAACAGGGACTACTACAAGAAGTCAGGGTTACAAACGAAGCAAGATCTGGACGACAGTCGGGAAGCGAAAAGCGGTCGACCTATCGGAGCGAGGATCGATCGGGAGCGGAGCAGAAAAAGTCCCAAGGAGCGACGCAGAAGTAAACGTTTGTGGTGGAGCACTTAGAGTGACGGGGTTTATTTCGGGTCATTCTGTACAGTTTGTCGTTGATACTGGCGCAGATGTGACTGTTTTGAGTTATCGAGTTTATAAGGAGCTGAATCAGTTGGGTGAAGTGGCAAATTTGACTGCTGATGGTACTCTGAACGGTCTCGATGGACAGAGAATCGAAGTTCTGGGAACTATCACGTTAAATTTCTCAGTGGGTGAAATTTATTCAAGACAGCAAGTTTGGATCACTAAAATTAAAGAGGACTGTATCTTGGGCGCGGACTTCTTAAGGAAACAAGATTGTGTAATCGATTACCCTCGGAATATTCTACACATTGACACTACGGAAGTTCCAATGCATGTCAATACCGACGAGCTCAAATGTTTCAGAATAGTCCTACAGTGTAGATAGAACTATAAAGATTTCAGGAAATTCAGAAATGGTGGTTTCAGCACAGTTAGATGGCATTCCTGGAGAAGCTTACTGCGGAGCGGTTGGCCCTGCTGGGATAGAAAGAAGAACGAAAGAAGTAATAGTTGGACGAACGTTAGTTGATCTTAAACAGAAAAACATTCCTGTTCGTGTAGTTAACTTGTCTTCTACGAGAAAGAAGTTATCCAGAGGGACAGAGATTGCTGTGTGTGAGCCAATAGCTTGCATAACACCGATATTAGCGTCCTCTAGTAAAGAGCAGAAGGTAACATTGGACGTCGACTCAATTCCGGAACACCTCCAAGATCTCTACAAGAAAAATGTTGATGGTCTCAACCAATTGAGATTACAATGATGTGTTCTCTAAAGGATCTGGCGATATTGGTCGAGCAAAAGGGACGAAGAATAAGATAAACACTGGAGATGCCCAACCTATTAAACAAGCACCAAGACGACTTCCAATGAGGAAAAGCGACGAAGCTATTCAAGCGGTCGAGGAGATGGAGAAACAGGGGATCGTAGAACCTTCGATGAGTCCTTGGAGTTCGCCCATTGTACTTGTTCGAAAAAAGGATGGGTCGACTCGATTCTGTGTGGATTATCGCCGACTAAATGATATCACGAGGAAAGATTCATTTCCGTTACCACGAGTTGATATTACCCTGGACGCTCTGAATGATGCTAAATGGTTTACCACTCTCGATTTAAAGAGTGGCTATTGGCAGGTCGAACTTGACCCAGCTGACAAAGAAAAGACTGCGTTTTCGTTTGGACAAGGATTATGGCAATTTAATGTAATGCCATTTGGACTATGTAATGCGCCTGCAACATTAGTGAAAGATTGATGGAAGCGGTATTGAGAGGGTTACCCTGGAACATTAGTTTAGTATACCTCGATGACATTATTGTACATGCGAAAGTTTTGATACACATTTGGCAAATTTGAAATGTGTTCTTGAAAGGTTACGAGAAGCAAATTTGAAACTGAATCCGAAGAAGTGTACTTTATTTCGAACTGAAGTTACATACTTAAGGCTATGTTGTTGTACTTAGGCTATGTTAGACGAAGGGATATCGGCAAATCCAGTCAAAGTTGAAGCCGTCAAGGCCTGGCCTTCCCCAGCAAATACGCACCAAGTGCGAAGCTTTTTGGTTTGTGCACCTATTACCGACGATTCGTACCTAGATTTCCCCAACTTGCCAAGCCACTTCTACTGCTAGCAGAGAAAGGCGCAGTTTTTGAATGGACTGAGCAATGTAATCAGGCTTTTCAAACATTAAAAGACCTCTTGACCAAAGCACCGGTACTGGCTTATCAGATTTTGACAAACCCTTTGTATTGGACACGGACGCAAGTGACGTGGCGATAGGTGTAGAGCATCTGATCAGTTATTTTAGCAGAACTTTAAGTGGACCTGAGAAGAAGTACTGCGTTACTCGAGAAGAATTGTTGGCTATCGTTCAGGCTACAGGTCATTTTCACCACTATTTGTATGGCAACCCCTTTACCATCCGTAATGACCATGCCTCTTTACAGTGGTTACTCAACTTCAAGAACCCTGAGGGTCAGACAGCAAGATGGCTCCAAAAGCTTCAACTGTACGACTTCGCAGTTTTTCAACGTCGTAGTAAATTGCACGGTAACGCTGACGCTCTGTCCAGAAGACCTTGCGAAGAAACAGGGTGCAAATATTGTGAGAAGAGAGATATCGTAGAAGCCCTAGCGAATCAGCATCAGTCGGATGATCAGGAAACGACTGCCTGTGAGGAACCAACCGTTTTGACCGTTTCAACCGAAACAGCTGGGCATCCAAGCGAAGTGTTAAGAATTGAAAAAGCACAGAAACAGGATTCAGAAATCCAAATTATCCTACAATGAATAAATGAATCGACGGACAAACCACCTTGGCAAGAAGTGACCTCTCACAATATAGCAGTAAAGACATATTGGGGACAGTGGGAATCTTTAAAAATCCACGATGAGAAGTTGTACAGGTGTCTGGACACCGAAAAACCTGAAATCAGTCGCTGGCAACTTGTAGTTACACGGTTGTTACGAAGAGAAGTGTTTGAGCAAGTGCATGGTTCTCCAACGTGTGGACATTTTGGGGTCACGAAGACTTTTGCTAGGATTCGAGAACGGTTCTTTTGGCCACGGTGTCGTCAATCTGTGGAAGAGTGGTGTCGAAAGTGCGAGAAATATGCATTCAGTAAAGGACCTGGCAGAAGGCATAAAGGACCAATGAGGCAATTCAATGTAGGGGCCACACTGGAAAGAGTGGCGTCGGACATTTTGGGACCTTTGCCAACTTCGAGTAGAGGAAACAAATATATACTCATTGTGGGTGACTATTTTACGAAATGGATAGAAGCATATCCTCTCGAGAATCAGAAAGCAGAGACTGTGGCGAAGGTGTTTGTTAGGGAATTCGTTTCACGGTTCGGAGTTCCATTACAGTTGCATTCGGATCAAGGAAGAAACTTTGAGTCGAGATTATTTAAAGAAATGTGTAGTTTGCTTGGTATTGATAAAACGCGGACGACAGCATTGCATCCCCAATCAGGCGGCATGGTCGAAAGGTTTAACAGAACTCTGGAAAATCAGGTAGCAATATTTGTAGAGAAATACCAACAAGATTGGCATAGCCACTTTCCGCTGATATTGTTAGCTTATCATTCAGCCATACACGAAAGCACTGGACAAACGCCATCGTGTCTTATGTTTGGCAGAGAAGTTAATTTGCCGGTGGATCTACTGTATGGTCGTCCACCAGATCGACTCACAGGAGATTGAAACAGTACAGGACTATGTTGACCAACTAAGGACGAGAATTGAAAACGTTTATTAATTTGAAAGAATGCGTATACGCGTAGCGAGTGATCGAATGAAACGGCGGTATGATATCGGAAGTACCAGAAAAATATTTCAATGTGGTGACGTTGTTTGGTCAAGGAAAAAAGGATTGTCACCGAAACTCTCAACTGATTGGAAAGGACCTTATTTAATAGTGAGGCGGATAAATGAATTGTTATATTGGATACAGAAATCCCCTCGAACGAAGTCCCGTGTTGTACATAGAAATAGGTAATGGCATTATTTGTCTAATCGAGACGTTTAGACTTGGAGAGGAGGCAATTTAGCGTGCAAACCGGAAAACATTAACTATAGTAATTTAAATTTATAATCAGAGTGCGGACAATATATAAGTGTGTGATTTTTAGACAATAAAGTTGTTGTTGTAGTGTGACTGTTGTTTCTAAGTTGATCCGAAACGCGACAGTATTTTTATAGCTATTTGTTGTATTTAACTAAAATGTAAACATTAAAAAAAGCCCGCAATCTATGACCCTGACACTAATCCTTTAAGTCTTCAAACGCTATCGCTTTCGTGTTTTTGCGAAGACAATATATATTTTTGCACAGGAAGATTTCTCTCGAAGATGAAGTAGGACCCGTTACACGAAGAAGTATGATATATAATTTACACGAAGAAATATGATATATAAACGGCTACACTTTGGTTTAAATTAACGTAGACATCGTAATAAGGAAAATTGCCGTCATTTTTGGAGCGGTTTTTCCTTATTTTCTTGTATTATTGCAAAATACGAGTTCACAGTCATGTTAAAAACGCTTGTCAGCGGTCGTTAGTCACTGCCTACTTTGGGTAATTTGGTGGTTAAACGCTCCATGCAAGCCCCACAAAGCCCCGCGCATGCACAATTAAGTACGCGTGATCAGTTAACTACCCGACTAACTATACGTTTTGTGCAGCGCAGTCAACTCATGTAGCTAGTTAACTAACTTCAGTTAAGTATTTAACAACGATAGGTAACGCTAACTGCAGTTAACTTCAACTATATGTTTTTATTATAAGTCTCAATATTCAGATTCAAGGGAAAGCAAAACTACGCTCGAAACTACCTATTTCCCAAGGAAACAGACATCAAGTGTTTTGTTATATAACGACGAAAGAAAATTTGAATTCATACAGCAATTGTATTTCATGACAACTCTATAGTCCAAACGAGTTAAAATAATGCACTGAAACGGTGTTAGCATGCCGCATATATCCTGTTCCTGTTGAGTATTTTCTGCTCTATAAATATAAGTTAATTAGTTTGCAATCTAATTTTATTAACTCATCATCCACACATCCAAACATATTAGCTCATCATTCATTATTTCTATAATATGCACAAAAGTTACTTGGTATTCAACATTTCCTTTTAGGCCAACACAACTGCTTCAAGTTGTCTTCACCATTTCAACAATGGTAATAAAACATCAGGTAATTACACCATTTTCAATTTTGCACAAAAACGTCGTACAGTGTATTGTGATATGGAATCTGAACCAGGATCCGTTTGGACCCTCGTCATGTCATTTGCGAGAGAAAACAAAGATTTGAGCTCATTCAAATCCATAAAAATGTCTGCAGCGGGTGCATCCCGAAACAAACTCGCTCCGAATTGGTCTGACTACAGAGTAGGCAAGGGCCAAATGGTTTATGTAAAGTCCAAGGCAACTCATTGGCGAGTTACATGCAGTTTTCAGCAATCTGGCGTGGAAATCAAGACTGACTACGTCCGAGCTGCGTTTGCTGATTTTGATTTCATGGGTGACTTTTGGGATGGATGCAGAAACGTGCGTTACATAAGTGTCATGGGACAATCTTGTTCAAAGTGTACTGCATACTGGCGGCAGGGTGATAACGTTACCCTGACTATCCCTGCAGTTAGTCGAGACCCTTTTTGTGATATAAAAAGCAACGAGAGTGAAAACTACTATTTTGGGTCGTACCACACTTACGATCCCGCATTTCGTTGTACAGAATCTCCAAATTCAACAACGAATTACTGGTTCGGTTCTTATGCTTGATGCGTGGTTTCTGCATAAGGCTCAATTAACGGACACAAAAGTCGTTGAGCACTATGACACTCTTGGTCAACGAATACAAAAGCTAACATTGCATGCAATAACAATATTTATTACATTCACTTTGAAATTAAGGCGGCTCAATACAGTTTTTAATTTAAAATAATGCAAAATTCACGATGACTTCTATAAAACGACATCTATAGAGTTTGAATTTTTGCACAAAAGTTACGCACAGAGGCGTTGCCAGGATTTTTGGTCAGGGGGGCAGCAAAAACCGAGGTGGGGCGAACAAATTTTCCACACCACAACATTTTAAATCTCCCCGTCGACAACTTTTTTGGTAAAAAAATTTTCCGGACAATAACATATACATTAAATACAATATTAATTGCTTTCGTAGCACTTTTCCCCATTTCCGTATCACTTTTTCCGATGCTTCACCACGAATATTCCGACAACATTAAGCCCGCGTTAAAACTTCCCTGGTAAAAAAAAGATTGGTTTAAATTCATCTAACCCTCATTTAATACTTTTTGAAATAATTAGGTTTAGAAAAGGTATGTGTTTCAAGTTGTGTTCCGCAAATAAGCGAGGGCCCCGCGGCCCCAGCCCTGACTACCCCTCTGGTTACGCATATTTTGGCTTTAAAGTAATTTAACTCGTAAACGACATCGGTGACACCAAATTTTATTTTTAAAAATGATTTCTCTTAGTATAGTCAATTATTTTGACAATTCTAAAACATTCTGTAGAGTCAAAATTTTTAAAATTACGTAAAGGTGATTATTCATAATATTTTTTTTGGCTCCACAGAATTTTTTTTAATTTTTTAATTGTCAAAATAATTGATTATACTAAGAGAAATTAGTATAATTACATAGGTGATTATTGACAATTCTTCACGCTGATTGGTTGCCGTTGAGGTGATTATTACGCGATAATCACCTAAGCGATTTTTAAAATGGCGGCCGAAGCCTTTTTGTCAATTAAATAACGAAGAAATGTGTATTTTCTTATTTTTTCCAAATAATCATCTATGAAATTTTACTAAAACAATGATTCACCTCAGGCTCGGTGACTATCGTGAATAAAAACCTCGACTTCGTCTCGGCTTTTAATCACGGATAATCACCTCGCCTTCGGCGAATAATTGTTAATTATTTTTAAAAATAAAATTTGGGGTCACCGATGTCGTTTACGAGTTAAATTACTTTAAAGCCAAAATATCCGCCATCTTGAAAAGTCATTTTTGCCATAGGAACGCTAGTTGCGTTACTTTTGGGCCAAAATTCAAACTCTTTAGATGTTAATTTTAGTATAGGTAATATCATGGTTTCGAGTGCAACTTGGATATAATATGCATGAGTGAGTTTTTCAAAGACCTCAAAATAGCACGAGTCCGGATAACAGCTAAAATTTCAAATTTACAGGGGGCTCCGTAATTACGTTATTTGGAACAAGCTCGTCATTTAAAACATTTTGGTCTTTGTTTCATCAAGATCGGTTAATTAAGGCAGTCAAAAGTTATGGCAATTTTAACTCATTTTTGGATGAGGCACATAGTGTAAATGTACACAAGCTAGTTTTGAATTGGAACACCAAAATGCTTGCATGGTTTTAAACCAATTTTTCAACATATAAGCAGTGCTAACTTCCAGACATTTAATTTCATCTGATCACCATGAAATTTTCAGAGTACATTGGTAACACTCAAAGCAACAACATGGTGTAACAGTTGAACACTTACGGTTGCTATGGCAAGCGTATGACGTCATTGAATCACAACAATTATCATGGAAACTGTAATTAGATGATTTATTGCACACAAAACCATTACAACAATGTTGTATGACCTGTTATATATTAATTAATTAGTACAAGTTCATAAAATGTTACAAAATTGCGTTACTATGGAAACATGATGACGTCATAAAACGTCATAGCTCTGAACAATTATCATGTTTCGTCACAATAAAACATTACATTTTAGAAATAAAATATTTGCAAGACAATGCTACATGTAATCCGAAGTACCACAGATAACTTTTTCAGTTGCCATGGAAACCATGTAACGTCATTATTCTGCATTCTTATTGGATAAATTTGCTTGTCACTGTTTCCGAGATTTATTCATGATATTTTATAGATTTTGACAGTTTCCTTACTGTAAGCACCAAGAGACCCTAAACAAACTTTACATAGCCTGTTTCCATGACAACGCAACAAAACTTACACTAATGACATCACACTGATGACATCATTCATTGCAAATTTGAAGCACTTTACATGTCTTGGGAAAACAATTGTTTTCATTATTTTCATAGTGACGATGAAAGATAACATTTCTTACAACAAAAATTACTGAGCTACGTATTTGAAACTGGTCTGCTTGTTCAATTAATAGTTCAATTTCCACATACTGTCTTGGTGATTCGTTTAGCCCGCGTGCAGGCCCAAGGGAACTGATAGTGGGCCTGCAAGCAAGGCCCGGTATTTTGTACTTTCCGCGTTCGCCCACGAACGCGGCATTCTGATTGGCTGTTTGCTGTTGGATTCTATAATTAGATCAGTGAGGCTCACAAAGGCTCTCGATAAGCTTAAAATTCGAAAATTGATCGCTTTTTTCGATTATAAATGGAACAAGAACTGACTGTTTATTGTTTAATACATGAAGGAAGAGATGTTTTTGGCGTTATGCCAATGGGGATTGCTTAGCTTGTCGTGAGGTGTTCGAATAGCAACATTGCGACTGGGGTAGACTATAGTAACCTTTACTTGAGTTTCATTAATTTCAAACAGACTTGATACGTTATATGTTCCTCAAGAAAATTATCTTTTGGTTGATGTTGACTCTGTTCTTGCACTGAAGAAAACAGCGCTTTTCGCTGTGAAGATTTAGAGGCAGTTGCATATAAGCCTATTCGAAACACTTTGCGAATTTACAAGGCTTTGCTGAGAGAGCGAAACAGAAGACGGTATTAAATTGCCGTTTGAAACGAAACGATCTGGACTCTGAACGCTCTCTTCTTTTGTAGAGTTCTTTGCCAAATGAAATAACTGAAATAAATTTCGCACTTACCGCCACCAACAAGAATTGCACACACTATCTGATAAGTGAGACAATTTATTTATAACAAGACGCTCTATGGAGCGTTAACTCGCTGGGGCTATACAAATACGCACATTACTGTATATGATGCCAGATACAGTACACAGCTATTTCAATAGACCTTTCCTCTTTTAAGTAAAATTTTAATCTAGACTAGCGTGGACAGAAATTTCATTACAGCTTGAAAGAGCATTGCAGAATTAGTAATATTCCGAAGTTTCGTTGCAATGCGGATAATATAGCCATGCGAAGTTTGCCGTTTTTCAGTCATTTTGTATTACAAATGGGATATTGATCATCAGTTTTCCTTATCTGATTATCAATTTTCCGTTTGGAAAACTCGAATACGAGTGCGAACGCTTAACACACTAAAATGCGGTACCCTACAAATAAAACTTCCGGCGTTTATGGCCCACAAGTATTAAAAGTTATATTTTGTAGTACGCTACATTCTTCTCTTAGCCGCCAGTTTAAAACGTCCAAACTAAAATATTTTTTGGTTTTTGGGCTCAAAATATTATCAAAATGAAGAGAGAAGTGAGACGAATCCATGCACTGGTATACGATATACCAAAGTTATCAAGGATCAAACATATTGCATTTTTTATAATTTGAGGTTTGAGCGATTTGTCAACAAATTATACAATTTCGCTTGGCTTTCAAAGACAAAGGCCATAAATCAAAATTTTCACAAAATTGTTTAAAACATTTTGCCCACTCCACGAAAGTCCCCGCCATTTTGAAAAGGATCAAGCAGCTCATTAATATTCTATTTTGTGGCTATCGATCTTCGATCCACGATCCACTATCGGAGAAAAATGTGAGCCGAAAACTATACTCGCCCGGGGCACAGAGTGCCCCAGCGAGTAACAGGACGCTATGCGGAGCGTTAACTCGCTGGGGCTATACAAGTAGGGTTGGGCGATATTTCGATATTTTGATTTATCGCGATATTTTCAATCACGATTATCGTATCGAAGGCAGATACTTGAGCGACGATATATCGAAATTATCGTCGTGCTCGATGACTATCGTGATATTGCTTCACATTTGTATATAGCTGTTATAAAATCCTAAAAAATTCTTTCAATTTCCTAGAAAATATAGTTTTTAAAATAATTAAAACTATTTCCTGAATTAAATACGAATTTTATACGATACAAAAGCTAATATTTATGTATTTATAATCTGCTGAACAATGGAATTGCAGGTTTTGCCTGCGCTGTGTGCCCACAGCATTTGTGGCAGCGGAGACACAGTAGACACTGCATAGACAGTACAGTAAATATTATGCATCAGTCAATTCTAGCATTACCCATCCCCCCCCGGGCAACTCGGGGGCCGGGTGCCGGGCATTGATACTTGCAAAGTTGTCCCGGGTGCGGGGAATTGTTTACCGGCCGGGCATTTGACTCGACCGGACGTTTCTGCGACGAACACGTGCTATTATATTAAAATGGCGTCGAAGAATTCAAGAGTAAAAACGAGGATTTTGTCAATATTTTCATGCACAAAACGTCACACCAATCGCACATGAGAAACTAATTAAAGTTGTGTTTAACTATCTAGCATAAAAACACTAGAATTCATAGTACAATCCTTGTTTATCTTGCTACGTTATTGCCAGACTGCATTTTCTCCACCGCGCGTGGAAGATCTTCCGCGCGCATTTTTGATACTTTCTATTTATTTTATACCATTAAATTTTCGAAATCTTCCGCGCGCAATTTCCAAACTTTGCAGTCTGGCGTTATTGTATATTAACCACTGAACCCTCAACCGACAAGCACGTTTTTTATGTTCAAAAGTTGGGATGACTGCTGTAGCTTTTATACAAGGAAGCTAATACTGTTATGGATGTTTTGAGGTCTAAAATACATTCTATAAATGAGTCAGTGTGCCCTGGGGCCGGGCATTTGTTATCTTTTTTTTGCCCGGGGGCGGGGCATTGGCACGCTTTTTCTGCCCGACCCCCGGGAATTGTCAAATGCCCGGCGGGTTGCACGGGGGGGATGGGCAATGCTAGAATTGACTGATGCATTAGACAAGACAAATCCTTCATATTTCTTTAATTAATGATATTAATTAAAATTGAAAAATGTGGTCATTGTTTTTATTGCATTTATCGTGATATTATCGAATGTCGTGATAATTTCCTTGACAATATAATCGTGAGATAATTTTTTTAATATCGCCCAACCCTATATACAAGTCACACAAATACGCACATTACTAAGCGGAAAAGTCGAATACGAGCGCAAAAGGCTTAACACAGCACTAAAATGCGGTAGGCCCTAGAAGTAAAGTTATTGCTGCCGAAGGCAGCACCCTATTCTTGACAGGCGGTGTTTTCTCCAGAGTCCACTCGACCCAGTCTTTCGCGCGATCTATGTATTGTCGAGATCTCGATTTGTGTCTGTGTGTCTGTCTGTAAAGATGATTTCCGGG